TCTTCGCAGGGCCAGAGACGTCGTCGTCACACAGCGTCTCAGGCCAACAGGCCCACGGGACCGGAGTGTGCGCCCGTCCACCGGCGGAGTGACACCGGAGGCTCCGTCCTTGACCGGGGCCGGAGTGCACGCCTTTCCGTTGTTGTTGTTGTTGTTGTTGTTGTTGTTGTTGTTGTTGAACTTGCACTTCTGAAGAATAACTATTGTTGATCCCCCCTCACCGGTGCATGCTGTTTTTCTCAATCAAAGTGTGCCCCTCGACGCGCGCACGCGGCCGCGCGCGCGCGCAGGCGCACGCGCGCGCGCGCACACGCAGACGCGGACGCGCACGCACGCGCACACGCGCACGCACACGCACACGCAGCCGCATGCGCATACGCTAACGCATACGCACACGCACACGCACACGCAAACGCGCACGCGCACGCGCACGCGCACGCACACGCACATGCACACGCGCACGCGCACGCACGCGCACACGCACACGCACACGCACACGCGCACGCACGCGCACACGCACACACGCACGCGCACGCGCACGCGCACGCGCACGCACACGCGCACGCGAAGTCACAAACACAAGCACAAACACAAGCACAAACACAAACACAAACACAAACACAACACAGGCACAATCACAAGCACAAACACAAGCACAGGCACAAACACAAACACAATCACAATCACAATCACATTCACAACCACAATTACAGTCACAGCCACAAATCACAAACGCAAGCAGAAACATAATCACAATCACAACCACAATCTCAATCTCAATCACAATGACAACACACTCACAATCACAATCAGAATCACAATCGCACATGCAACCACGCACAATCACACACAATCACACACGCACACACACACACACTTTCCCGACCCTTTCTCGACACCAGAGGGGGTGCGCAGGGGATGGTCCCTCGCCGCGGCCTCTATCCGTCCCAGGGTCGCGGGGCGTGGCAGGCGTGGCATTTTCTCGACCCCAGGGGGGATGCGTAGGGGGTGGTCATTCACCGCAGTCTCTATCCGTCTCAGGGTCGCGGGGCATGGCGGGCGTGGCGCTTCCCGACACCAGAAGGGGGTGCGCAGGGGGTGGTCCCTCACCGCAGTCTCTATCCGTCCCAGGGTTGCGGGGCGTGGCAGGCGTTGCACTTTCTCGACGTCAGAAGGGGTGCGGAGGGGGTGGTCCCTCACCGCGGTCTCTATCCGTCCCAGTGTCGCGGGGCGTGGCAAGCGTGGTGGCACATTCTCGACACCAGAGGGGGTGCGCATCGGGGCAGGTCTTGCCGTTGCATTCCATCAGTTGCACTAGAAGGGGTTTGCGCAGCATCGAGATTTGTAAACAGTTTAGTTTAAGCTGGTTCGGAGGGCCACGGTACCCAATCGAAGGTCGCAATTGCTTGTTGTTTGGTGCGCGCATACCATGACATAGGTATGTGGGGTGCTTCGGTAGTGTAATTCAATGCTTTCCGTTTTCTCGCGTTCTCGAGTTTCCAACGCTCCAAAACGGCCGAAGACGCCCCGAAAATCGCCCCAAGACCGCCGAAGAGGCCCCAAGGAGAGCCACAAAACGGCCCTGGAGAGCCTGAAGACTGTCCATGAGCAGCCCAAGACTGCCTAAGAAAATCCCAAGACCCAATATGGGCCCCAGAGCGGGAGCTGGAGGCCCCAGGGCGCTCCAGGACGGCCCAGATGATCCCAACGTGGCCTAAAATGAATTCAAGACGGCAAACACACAGCCCAAAAGGCTTCCAAGAGACCCCAACAGAGCTCCGGGACACGTCCCGAGAGACCCCGAAGAGGCCCAAGTCCTTGATGTTCAATTGTTTTTAAGGTCTTCCGTTTTCTCGCGTTTTTGAGCTTCCAACGCTCCAAGACGGCCGACAACGCCCCCCGAACCGCCCCAAAACCGCCGAAGAACCCCCCCAAAAAACCCCGAAACGGCTCCAGAAATACCGAAAATTGCTCAGGAGGAACCTCATACGGCCGAAGAGGCCCCAGGACAGGCCCAAGATGGGCCACAGAGCGGGGGCGGGAGGCCCCTGGGCGTTCGAAAACAGCCCAGATGGCCCGGGCCTCCCCCCCTCCGTCCCTCCTTCCCTCCCGGCCCCTCCCCTTGTCTCCATTCCCTCCTCTCTCTCTCCTCTTCCTTCCCTCACCCCTCAGATTTCGCGCTCCTCCTTCCCCTCCTGGGACGGCCCCGCCAGAGCGCCAGACAGGCCCCGCCAGAGCGAACGAGGCATCGCTTGACCCTGTCATTTCACAAGTTGCTTTGCCCCTCCCACCCTTCAATGGCGGCCCTGGCAGAGCAAGAGGGGTGTTGCTATACCATGTGCAATCCCTGTTCTTTGTTGCTCCTCCCACCGCACCCGATGTAGCCACGTCAGAGCGCACGGGGTGTGGCTATACCATCGTTTTCCTCAAGTTTCGTGCCCCCCCCCCCTCCGGGGCAAGCCCCGCCAGAGCGCCACGGAACCCCCTGCCAGAGAGAGCAGGGCATCCCTACACCATAGTATGTCACGCGATTTTTGCTCCTCCCACCCTTGCAGGGTGGACCCGCCCGATCGAGCGAGCATGGCACTCGTACACCATACTCTTTCACGCGATCCTTGCCCCTCTTTCACTTCTTGAAAAGGCCTCGCCAGAGCGCCAAGAAGGTACTGCCAGAGGCCTCGTCAGAGCTCCAGGCAGCCCCAAACATGGGATTTGCCAGGCAAATCGTTGAGCATCCCCCGTGAGCCCGAACCTCCTGATCCCACGGGCGCGATTATCGCCAGCATGAGGTTTGGCGTCCAGCACAAAGAAGTTTCCCCACTCCCGTGGACGGACTCGACAAGAATTGATAGCAGATAAGGGCGCTGATGACCGGGACATCTGCGCGCGCCGTCGTCAGCAGATACTCGACAGCTGAAGGACCGCTGAGAACGAGAAGTTTGGAACACAAGGAAGAGGAAGTCGAAACAACGCGTTCCCGTGCGCGCACGACGAGGCCCCGAGCCAACCCCAACATCAGGAGTCGGCGGATGTCTGCGCGATTGGGCATGGGGAAACCGAACATATGTTCAAAAACATTGAGTGTCGCGACGGGGCAGAGCGGAAGTGTCAATGGAGAAACAAGTGCAGTTCGACAAACCACACAAAGGCGGCAGCGAGATTGTGAGATACGCGGAGACGTGGCGCCCCGCGTTCTGACTACGCGTTTCCTTGTGTAAATGTCATGGTCCCGAGAACGCTGGAAATTGTCGTTGTGGCCACAACGGTGCTTACAGCGGCACCCGTGGTTCATCAGCGACCAAAACCTAAGTGCGCGTAGCGCGCGTGGTTTTTAATACGTATGTATCTAGACAACCTTATCGTTTTCTGCCTTGCTCCCTCGCCCTCATTTGCTCCTTAGGTGTCTCGTCACAGCGTCCCCTGGGCAGCGGGATGTCGCTAATGTTCCAATTCGGTTGCGAATCCCTCGTTCCCGGTCCTCGGGGTGGTCGTAAGATCCCGCTTCGACAGCTTTTCCTTCGCTCTTGGTCTCTTCCCCTTCCTTTTCCAGCCTCTTTCATCCGCTCTCCCGGTCGCGCCTCCTCCTCTCCCCTCGTCTCCTTGGTTGTGGGGATGCACCGAGATGCCAGTTCGGTCGTCCGCGCCAGTCACGGTTTCCGCTTCGTTCCTTCCCTCCTCCCTCGTCCTTCCTGCAGCGAGGGAGCGAGGAAACGGATCTCGGGAACGAGGCCTTCAGAGTCCTTCCAGGAAACCCGAGGGAGTTCGGGGCCTGACGCAGTGGGGCAGCGAGCGGAAGAACGGAAGCAGGCCCTCGGCCATGCCTCGAGACTGTCGCGGGGGGACCCGCCGGAGCGGTGCGGCAGACCGGCCGCTCCAGGTCGCGGTCAAGAGCAAGATCGTTGTCTTCCTCCTCCTCCTCCTTCTCCTCCTCCTCCTCCTCCTCCCCCTCCTCCGTCCCTGGACAAGACAGGGCGGCGGGGCCCGGTGGCACACGAGCCGCCGTCGGCGGGCTCGGCGGACCGAGGTCGAGTCGCCAACGCTTTGCGTGCCCTCGCAGGACGGCCCCTCGAGCCAGCTGCTGTCTATGGCCGTGGCGGCATGCCGCCGTTTTCTTTTGTTCGGCGGCAGGCCGTCCTCCGAGGCCTCCGACACCTCGTGTTGAGTCGGGCATGTCCCCCATACAGGAGGAACGTTCAAGAATAGGAGCAACACTAGTCAGGTGACTTTTTTTGTTATATATATATATATCTCTATATATGTTTTTTATTTTATTTATTTATTTACTTATTATTTCTCATTTGTATATAGTACATTATATACACTATTTATATATATATATAGCGATATGTCACTATTCTTACTATTAGTAGTATTACTATTATTGTTATTGTTATTATTATTGTTGTTATTATTATTATTAGTATTATTATTATTATTATTATTATTATTATTATTATTATTATTATTATTCATATTAATATTAATATTATTAAAATAATCAAAAAAAGAAAAACAATTCTTCCAAGATCCGCCTGTAGGAGGACATGCCCGACCTAGTACTCGTGATCTCTCCATCGCGTGGCCCCTGGATCTCTGGACAGCTGCCCGGGGGCAGTGCTCTTCGTCTGGGTGGCCCAGTGATGGCCCCCAGAGGCCGAAAATCAGTGGCGGCCATGCCGGGGGTGATGTCTATGGGGGTGGTGGATCTCATGGCAGTGGCCATGATATCGGCACGGCTTTCATGCCCCCTCTTTTTGTTTCAGTGCGTTCCTTGGTCCCCTTCTGACCGCGCACGTGCCTTGGGCCATGACTTGCGACCCCCCCTCTTGGACGCTCCCCTCGCGGACGCCCCAGAGACAGTGGACAAGAGCCCCCCATCGCTTGTTTTCATCACGCGGTGGGGTCTGGGCCGCCAGGCGCCGGAGACCTGCCCGAGGTCCGCTCGCCCGTTCGGCAGCTGGCCAGCGATTCTCCAGTTGCGCGCCCAGCCGCGCGTCGAGGCCATCCTGGGGCGTCGCGCTGGGCGCGGAGGGCGACGTTTCCGCGGCCCTGGAGGGCGACGCCACGGTGGCGCCGCCGCGCGACCCTCCGCTGCCGGCTCTGAAGAGGAAGAGGAGGGGGATGAGACGTGCGAATTCCCGCTTGGCCTGCCAAGGTTTCAGGATGCAGCTCCTGGGAGATTCAACTCAGCATCGGCGCTGGTATGCCCGTGGTCGAAGTCCAGCCCACTCCGGCATAATCCCGCTCAATCCTGCTGAATCCCGCTCAGTCCGGCTTAGCGGGTTTGAATCCTGGGCCTAATCCAGGCTGATTTGGCTGAGTGGTACTTTAATCGGGCTTGCGTACTAGCCCTGACTCGTTTTCACGATGACCTCCCAGCAGTTGCTCCCTGAATGGGGTTATACAAGGGGGTGCTTCCTCTTTGCAACGCACTTCGGACGAGCTTTGTATCTCCCCCTGGATGTGTTCAGACGCTGCGCCTCCGCCAGGCAAAGTCCGTGCTCTCGACCTGACAGCTCACACCCATGCCTATACTTTCCCTGGAACTCCTGGAGTGGAATTCTGTGGGGGCTATGGGTGCGTGTTCTCGGATGGGGGTCCCCGCCCGAACGGAAAACCACACTGGGGACCGACAACTCGCACCCATACCTACAGCGCGTTCATCGCCTTGCCCGTCCCCATTCCTCCTCCCCATAGGTTTGAGCGTGTGCTGTGCGCTCGTCGCGTGCAGTGTACAAGATGAGGGGTGTGGGGTCGCGGTTGCCCCGGCGCCGCACGGTCGGCGCCATGGCCACCCCGGGCAGCCTGGGCACGTCGCCAGGGTGCCCGGGCACACCACGGCCAGGCCAGTAGTTCAGCTGAGCGACGCAACAGAAACGGGTTTGACTGCGCCGACATTGGCGCGTAAGCTGCTCGCGCAAGGTCGCGCGTAAGCGCCCTCGCTTCCAGCGTAACGTTCCGCGCTGGCCGCCCGCGTGAGCCGCCGCGTAAGGTCGCTGTGCCATCTCGCATCAGACCCCTTTTTGATCGTCGCTCAGCTGGGGCACCGCTGGTTGCTGCCGCTGCTGCCTTTATCCAGGCGCCTGCGGCAAGCTCTGGTCGGCGGCGAGCGAGGGGGCGAAGTGAGAAAGAGAAGGTCCTCTCAGAAGGCGGCGGGACTTCTCAGAAGCCCTCGCGCCTTCTGAGAAGTTTCTGTTTTCTTCGGGGAAGGCTTGGAAAACTTCTCAGAAGGCCAGGGGATGCCCGAGCCTTCTGACAAGGCCTTCTCCTTCTCACTTCCCCCCTGGGCCCACCGCCGATATGGCATTGCGCAGCAACGTGCACAGCCAAGACGCCGAAAGAAGGACCACTTCTGCCTCAGGAGGTTTTTTTGCAATTCGTTAGATGGAGGTCGGGTGACCCATTCGTGGCCAAGGCTCGCCGTGGTCATTGGAGCCCCTTCGTTTCTTGTTTGGCGTGCCTTATGCTAGCGCGATGCCTGTACTCTGTATGGTGCTCCCCTTCGAGAACTACCCAGCAAAAACCGTAATCTGTGACACGCTTTTCCGCAGGCTCGAGACGGCCGTGACATGCGATAGTTATCCTCATAGCCCAGATCGTCGAGCGTCGTAACGTATCATGCTTGCTGTCGGCCATACCATAAGGAGACCCACACACACACACACATGTTATGTTTGCTATGCAGCGTTGCTGAAATTTGTGTCATACAGCTTCCCCAGACGAGACTAAGCCAGAACATGCAATACGAGGAGGATGAGAGAGCTACGACGTGACTGCTGGTACAAGTCTATGTTGTGAGGCATATCTTTCTTTTCAATATATATATGTATGTATATATCGATAATTTTGTATACGTACATATATATACATATATACATGTATATATATGTGTGTGTGGAGGACCATGCACATTGGTCCTTGAACTTTGGAGTGCATTCAGAAGGGTAGGAAGGTCAAACATAACAGCAAGCGGTAACTCCTTGTTGCCTTTCCCACTCGTTATATTCATATGTTTCATTATCTTTGGTTCATGTTTCATCCTCCTCTTCCTTCTTCTCGCCCTACCTTGTAAATCGTCCATCCTCCTCAGCTCCTTTTGCGGAGGGTCCTCTTGGGAGAGCCTCTTCGGGGGCCTCACGAAAGTTGTGAAGGGCTTCTTGGGGTCTTATGCAGGCCTCCTTGGCGAATTCTTGGGGCCTCTGGTGGCTTCCTCGGGCCATCCTGCTTCCAACCGCGGTCTCCCTGAACGACCGGGTCACGATTTGGAATGCTTCGGCGGGCGTGTTGGGGCCATCTTGGTTGAGACCCTGCTGGGCCGTCTTCAGGCTTTCTTGGACTACCTGGAAACCCGCTTGGGTAGTTTTGGGGCGATGTCGGGCCTCCTGGGCGGTCTTGGATGCCCAGAATATCGAACAACGGAGCATGCAAACACCCTAAGAGTTTTTTTTTGCGAGTATATGTATGCATACATACATACACTCGTACCGAAGACGCCGGCGGCGAATCACCGCCGCCCCCTGCCTTCTGGAAACGCCCATGCGGCCAAACGTTGTGCCGAGCCGTTATGGAACGCCTTAGGGGAACACTGGAGGGAGGACGAGAGAGGAGTTGGAGAGGGAGGAGAAGGATGGCGAGGAGGAGGAGGATGAGGAGGAGGAGGAAGAGGCGGAGGAGGAGGGGGAGGAGGAGAAGGAGGAGGAGGAGGCCTCTTGAGGCCTTCTTGGTGCCTCCTGGGGGCTTCTTGCAAGCCCCTTGGGGGCCTGAGGGGCCTTTGGGGGGCCTCCTGGGGCCTCTTTGGGGCCTCCTCGGGCGTTTGAGGGACCTCTAAGGAACCTCTTGGCTCTTTGGGCAGTCGTGGGTCCCACTTTAGGCGCTTCAGCCGTCTTGGAGGTCTATGGGGCCGTCTTGGGGTCTTCTTGTGGGCCTTTGGGACGTCCTGGAGTCTTCTTGTGCCGTCTTCAGGGCCTTTTTGGCGCCTCTTGGGCCGTCTTGGAGCGATCTTGGGGATCTATTGGGCCGTCTTAGAGTGTGGGAAGCCAGAAAAGGCGAGGACGTGCTAATATCATTGAAACAATCCTAGGAATATCAATGGTCTTGGCATCCAGTAGGTTTTTTTTGAGCCTTTTTTGGGCGTCTTGGGGGCCTCTTCGGCCGTCTGGGGGACATCTTGGGCCGTCTTGGGGCCGTCCTGGGGCCAACTTGGAGGCAATTTTGGGACCATCTCAGCGGTCTTGGAGGCATCTTGGAGGCCATCTTGGGCCATCTTGGCCGTCTTGGAGGCGATGTCTGCCTTGTTTCCTAGGTCTTTTTCCGGGCTTTCCGGGTGGCTGGCAGGTTGGGTCGCCATGGGGAGTTTTTCAAAAGAACCAAGACCACTCAATAATTAGCACGCCGTGTACCCGTGTGGCAAGCCGACAGGGTGCGGCGGATTTGCGCACATTCTGCGACCGCGCCTTCGTTGTAGGTCAGAGGCCTCTTGGATGCCTGTGGAGATCTCTTTGGAGGCCTCTCGGAAGCCTCCTGGAGTCGGTTTTGGGGGTGTCTTGGGGCCTCTCGGGGACTCTTGGGAGCCTCCTGTAGCCCGACTTGAGGGCCTCCTCGGGTTTTTGGGGGCCCCTTGGGGGCCTGCTGGCGGTCTCGGGGATCATCTTGGAGCGGAGGGTTCGAAATGTCGGTTCGTGTTCCGCCTCTGGAGCCTCTCTTGGGTCCCTCTTGGGGCCTTTCTGGGTAGTCTCGGGGGCCTCTTGGGTTGTTTTGGGGACATTTTGGGCCGTTTTGGGGACCTCTTGGGGGCCTCGTGCGGCGTTCTTGGGGGCCTCTTGGACCGTCATGGAAGGTCGGGGTCCCGAAGGTGCGGAAACGCTAAAGTTGCTCAGACATCTTAGGATTGTCGATGCTTCTGGCCTCTTGGGGCCGCTTGGGGAGGGCTCTTGGGGCTTTCTTGCGGCATCTTTGGCGCCTCTTGGGCCGTCGTGAGGCTATCTTGATGATTTTGGAGTGCTCTTGGGTTGACCCAGGGTCTTCTTGGACTGTCTTGGGGGCTTCTTGGAGCCCTTTTGGCTCGTTTTGCCTCCCCCCCCCCGCCGCCCCCCCCCCCCCCCCCCCCCCAAACGGCTCCGAAAAGTCATGCAGGCCCGCGGCCTGCATGCGGGAGAAAACCTGGCACGTGGGGGAACACACGGCACGCGGGGAGCCTTGGGAACTTCAGGAGTTTAGTGTCTGGCCCCTTTTCTATTTCATTATCGGACTGAGGACGAAGGGCTTAAGGGGGACTTGCGGACACTCCAGCTCGTGCCTCAGGACACGGCGTGTGTGTATATATATATATATATATTCACGTATACAGTATCATAGGCACCTCTCCGAGGGAGTCGAGCTCTGAGGCGATTACTGCGTACGCGCCGCGTCGTTCGCGATTTGTCTGGCCGTTTCGCTAGGAGCATCCTCGAAATTTTGAAATTCGGTGGCACCCCTCACACAGATCGTGACGTCAGGGTCCAACAACACATTTTTGTTGTTTTTTTGGGGGTAAAGCGTCATTTTAACATACAACCTGCAACACACATTGTAATTTCAAGGATTTCGACCCCGATTCTCAGAGAATGGCGGTTTCGCCTGAGATATCCTCCCAAAATCGAGCCCCGACGTACCTTTGGTACCCCAGACCCTGCCTCAGAACCTCCTGGGGGCCTCCTGGAACCTCCTGGGGCATCCTGGGGCTTTCTGTACTTTCTGGTACCCCAGACCCTACCTTGGAGCCTCCTGGGGGTCTCCTGGAACCTCCTGGGGCCTCCTGGGGCGTCCTGCGGCCTCCTGGAGGCTCCTGGAGCCTCCTGGAGCCTCCTGGGGTCTCCTGGGGCATCCTGAGGCTGCCTGGGGCCTCCTGGAGCCTCTTGGGGCCTCAGAACTACATGCACACATAGAGACACAAATCACACCCAACACATCACACGCTAGACAAACATAACACACAACACCTACAACGCACAGAAGACACGCACTCCGACAGCCCATCTTGCATCACTTGTATGAGCCTGGGTACACACGTGCCACTTGTATACAAATGTATATGTACATATTTATATATATGTATACATAATACATTTGTTTATTTCTCATGTCGCATGGTTATCTGAAGTATCATACAATGGTATAAGGTGGTCTAACTAATGTTGCACATCATAGTCTAGCATATCTATCTATAGACAGAGATAGAGAGAAAGGGGGAGGGAGAGGGAATCTTACGACACCTTTCTGGAGACGTCACGGGGGTCTCTCGGGTGTCTTTGGGAACCTCTCGGGGGCCTCTTGGGACTCTCTCGGGGCCGTCTTGGGACGTTCTAGGCTCACTGCATGTTTCGCACAACCTTTGTGTGCTGGTTCCTCGTTATGAGTAGAGCACCTGTTGCTCCCTCCTCCCCTTCCTCCCGCCTCCTCCCATCCCCCTCCCGCTTCCTCCTTCTCGCCCTCCCTGGGTGCCGCCATGCGCGCACCCGTCACCACTCTGATGGAGTGACGTGTTACGCGGATCACATCGAGGACTCGCCCCTGGTGCTGCAGGACGCGCCACCGTTGCCACTCTGCTGTGCCTCTGGGGGATCAGCGGATTGACGTCTTCTGCGGATCACGTCGAGACCTCTGTCTCCCTGGGTGCCGGCAGGCACGCAATCGTCGCCGTTTCCCTGCGCCCTTCGGCACCGCCTCGTACTGCTCCAGTGGGGCGTCCAACGGCACGGTTTCCCACAGCTTTTGCGCGGGATCGCAGAAGTTTTCGTTTTCACCACCAGTTTTGGATGCGCCCCATGTTGCCCCTCGTTTCACATGGGTTTGGTACGTCCCTGGAGCATTTCCATGATTTCGGCTGTGGGCCCTCTCTTGGGTCTTGGCGCCTCTTTTGGGAGTCTCCTGGGGCTTCTTTGGTGGTGTTCGAGGCCCCCGGGCATCTTGGAATTCTCATGTTGAGCGTCTTGGAGGCGTTGGAGACAGCCCAGGAGGCGTCATGGCGCCCAGGGGATCTCAAGAGGGCGGGGGGACGACGTATTTGGCGGCATGCGATGAGGGGTCCCGATGACAATTACGAAACCCCCTACCAGACAGCGCTGGGCACTACACCATACCACTCTGAATTCGCTCGGGCATGCGTATTCGGCAAACGGCGCATGGTCCTGGGGGCCGACTAGCATGAGGGCTTCTTATAGCAAGAAGGCCCTCCACCTTGAACTCGATGACAAGGCCACTCCTGGACGTTTTTTTGTTTGTTTTAGTTTTTGTTGCGCTTTTGTTTTTTTGTTGCGTGTGTGTGTGTGTGTGTGTGTGTGTGCGTATGTGTGTGCGCGCGCGCGCGTGTGTGTGTGTGTGTGCGCGTGCTTTCGGGCGGGATTACCTGAGAGCCTTGGGGGGCCTCGAGTGAGTCTTTGCTGGGTCCTCGCCCAACGCCCACCAGGTGCGAGATTAAACCTCCCTCCTCAAACACCCCCGTGTCGGTTCAATTCTCGGCACGGCCTTCAGGCTAGATGCGAGGTTTGCCGAGGGTCTTGAAGTCTCCAGGTTGCCGTCATCCCAGGGCCGCTGCAGTGGAGAAGCACGGACGACATCCTTCTGCTCAGGGGGCCGGCCCGTCGGGCTGGATCCGGGGGCAGTCCCGCGGGATGCGGGGAGGATCCGATGGGCCGTGGCCCAGGGCCCGACCGAAACAGTGTTTTTCGTTTTCGTTTTCCGTCGTTTCGTCTCCAACCCGCCTTTGCTGCAAAGCGGAGGCGAAACGAAAACGGCCCACGACATCGCCGAGACACCGTTGAGGTGGACCCCTGCCGTGGCCAAGGCGCAGGGGCCCAGGGGAGTTGCGGCGGCCACACTCCTCGCCCAGGACTCGGGACTGGCGGTGTCGGCACCGCGCGACCCTCGCAACTCCCACCCGGCACCCCCCCTGGCGGTGCTGTGCTACCATTGAGGGCGTCAAGCCAAGCAATGTTAGTGGGTGGAGGAGTGTTGCCCCGAGGAGGGAGGCGGGGAGGATAGGAGGACGGGAGGGCGGAGATAGGGACCCCCTGCTCCTCCCCTCCCCTCCCCTCCCCTCCCTCCACACATCCACTTTCTTATTCTTGCGCAGGCGCCCCCTCTCCCCCCCGCCCCCGCCCCCCCCCACCCACCCACCCCCACACACACACACCACATGTGCGCCTGGACTCACCACGCCGCAGCGGAGGAAGAGGAATAGGGGAGATGGAGGAGGAGGTGGAGGAGGTGGCGCTGGAGAAGTTGCTGGGACGGGGGGGGGAAGGATGAGAGGCCAGGGGATGGCAGGAGCGGTGCGGGGACTGTGGAAGGCTCGAGGGGCGAGGGGCGGCGAGGGGGCCGGTTATCGGAATCACTCCTTCCGTTCACCCCGCCTTCACGTGTGCGGCTCCCCCTGACAGGTTCCAGAGGCCTGAGGCTGTTCACCTGCCCGTGTCCAGGTGCGCTCGGGGAGATGCCTCGAAAGGAGACGTCAGGCCCTGGCTGGTCGCGTGCTCGCAGAGGTTTCCGGCGCCGTCCCGCATCGTTTCCGCACGAACCAGTGTTTCCCCCTGTGTTCGGCTGCGGGCTTCCAGAGGGTCTCGTGAACGGCGTCAGCTGATTTTCAGTGACTTGCGGGAGACGCCGAGAGTAATCATGATCGCAAAACTTGGGAGGCCTCCTGCCCAGCACCTGGACACGGACAAGGTGCTACCCGCGACGTGTCGGACGTCATTTCATCGCTGTTCAGTGCGGCCACAGCCACAGCGAGCAGCGTTCTCTGCTTCTCTCGTGAACTGCTGGTCGCCCTTCCTCCAGGAACAGTCACCGTTGTCGCCTTTCCAATGCGATGCCTCATCTTTTATTCATCAGGACTGCGCCATTCTGCCGACTCCCAGAAGAGGGAAGAGTTCACGGGTGAGGTCTTCTGAGGCCTCTCGGGGACCGTTTGGAGGCTTCTTCGGGCCTCTCTGGAGTTTCTTGGTCGCCTGCAGGCGGTCTCGGTGCGGCGCCTCATCTTTCATTAACGCCAGCTATCCGGGTCTCTAGATGGCGTGCTCCCCCCTCTGGCCCCTCTCTTCTGTTGCCTGCTCGCCACTGTTTAGCAGGGTCTCCCCGACCACTGTGTTGATGCTGAGCTACACTGTCAATGCCTCGCTGTCCTGCGGCCTTGCTGTGTTCTTGCTCGCTGGAGCATTTGGCACGTGTGCGGAGCTACACTGTCAGTGCCACGCTTTCCTGTGGCTTTGCCGTGTTTCCGTTCTGAGCGCACACTGCTTGAGGCAGCGGAGAGCTTGAGAGGATGCATCCAACAAAATGCGTGCTCCCCCTTTGGCCCCTCTCTTCTGTCGCTTCCTCGCCTCGAGCTTCCTCGTCTCGAGCCCCTCCCGGCGTGGAGGCCGACGACCTAGCGCTGGAGTCTCCCACCCCGGAGAAAGAGCCTGTCTATGGGGACGCGGGCGGCGGGGGGGCGGCTGTAAGATGATGTGCCAAGCTGGGCTCTCCTCCTCCTCCTCCTCCTCCTCCTCCTCCTCCTCCTCTCCCTCCTCCTCCTAGGGTCTCGTGGGCCGGCAGCCTCTCCGTGTCCGCTGGCCATGGCCGCTGCGGCTGGGCCTCTGCGTCCACACAGGCAGCTTTGCACCGCGCTCTGTCTTCGGGGCGATCGAACTGGGTACGGACAGACTGGGTACTATGCCCAACAGCAGTTCCTGTTCTTTTTGGACAGGACTCGCTGTCCGCATCGCCGCGGGCGTTGTTATTTGAAGACAGACAGCTGCCCGCCGAACAGCGGCCGCTGTCGGTGTTGGACAACATTTGTTGTTGGGCATTGTATTTTTTCCTTACCATATCTGGGCTTCCAAATTTCTGCTTCGGTCACGCGCTCTCGTGATTCTCCTCGACATGTCCCGGGCGCGGCTGCGGGTGTCGGGCCGGGCGAAAGGGGGGGATTGGGAAAGGGGGGGTTACGAAATTTGCTACATGCAGCTGGTTTCGGCCTCACCGAGAGGCCCATTCCTCGATACATGGGCGCCTCCCGGCGCCGGGAGGCGCAGGGAAAATCAGCTACGTGAGCTGATTCTCAAACCCCCCCTTTGCTATCCCCCCCTTTGGCCCGACCCGAGGGTGGTGGAGGAGGCGTTGGACCAGGAGGAAAAGGTGGACCAGGAGGAAGAGTGTGAGGAGGAGGAGGAGGCAGAGGCGGAGGCGGAGGCGGGGGCGGCGGAGGAGGAGGAGCAGGAGGAGGAGGAGGAGGAAAAGGAGGAGGAGGAGGAGGAGGAGGAGGAGGAGGAGGAGGAGAGAGGAGGAGGAGGAGGAGGAGGAGGAGGAGGAGGAGGAGGAGGAGAAAAAAACATACTACTAATGAGTTAATAGCAATAACAATAATATGATCGACAATCATACCATTAAGGAAGACGAATGCGAATACTAATACTACGAGGAAGAGTAAGACCACCGCTAAGACGCTACATATTAATATTCACACTCGGAAGGCGAAGACGAACAGTAATACTAATGACAGTAGAATAACACAGAGTCACACGGCACATACACATACTAATAGTGATACTAATCATACGACGAACAACATTAATACTAATTTGACGAAGAAGGAATACCGATCGTAATACTGTTAATACGAATAATAATAAGACGAATGCGACGACCAAGACGAATGTGACTACTAATACTCATCATGTTAATCATACTACGAGAAGAATACTCGTACACATACCAAGAATAGTCGACCACATAATAGTAATACCAAGACAGCGGATGATACTACTATTGATAATCTAGTTCATCAGAACATTAATAAGAGTACTAATCATAGTCATACGAAGACGTTTGACAATATCACGAATGATTTTATAATGAATGAGACGCTGAATAATAGTACTGATGCTAACCCTAATAGCAATACGAATGCTAGGAATTGTAATAATAACACTGCGAGCACTACGAATACTAATCACACTAACCTTGAACATAATAGTATTAATCGCATTCTTAATACTGATAATATGAATAATCATATTACTACTACTAGTACTGGTCGGAAGAAGCATAAATATATGAGGAGGAGGGGCAGGAGAAGGAGGAGAAGGATGAGGAGGAGGAGGAGTAGGAGGAGGATGAGGCGTAGGAGGAGGAGGATGGGGAGAAGGAGGTGGAGGAGGAGGTGGAGGAGGAGGCAGAGGGCGAGGAGGAGCCCGTCCAGAAAGGAACCGGAACAGACAGAGGAGCCCTGGGCCGAGGGGCGCCGAGGAGGAGGAGGAGGAGGAGGAGGAGGAGGAGGAGAAGGAAGAGGGGGAGGAATGCCCCAGTCAGCGATCTTGCTGATGCGGGCTTCCCACCGTGGACTCATGATCGTGTCGCAAATTTGGACAACTGTAGTGAAGAACATATCGGCCCCAGGGCAAATCGTGAATGGCCAGAAGTAGTAGTTCACCAGGCGTACCTCCTGCTGGAGTTTGACATGTGATCTGACCCGTCTGTCCATAATCGAGTGTCGAGTTCCCTTGAAGCTTCTTGGGGGCCTCTTTGGGGCATCCGGTGGGAGCCTCTTTGCGACCTTCAGGTTGCCAGTGTGCCTCTGAGCTCGTATTCGGGGCCTCTGGAGGGTGTAGCTTGAAGAACGCATGCGCCTGGAGGGGGCAGTCACCCGAGTCTCGTCGCCCTAGTGGGGGCCGGAAGGTCTTTTTGGAGCCTCGCGCGGGCTGCCTTGGGGGTCTTCGTGGGACCATCAAGGAGCCGTCTGAGCTGAACACGGCGAGACGAAACACGTGCAGAAGCAATGCATGGCTGCGTTGGGGCCGACTCTTTCGAGATCGGCTTCAGGTGTCCGGCCGAGTCTGATATGCGAACGCTACCCCTACCCCCCTCAGATATCGTGGGGGGTAGGGGTAGGGTTCGCATCTGGTAGGGGTAGGGTTCGCATCTGTCGACACCCCGCGGCTGTGACCTCAGGGAGGGGCTGCGAGGAGGGGCAGCCCCCATGCGGTTGGGGTTGGGAATCCTGGTGCGACGCTCGCAGCGGCGCCTTCGCGGCAGAGCAGTGCACTACGCAGTGGTGTCTACCAGCACTTGCAGCAAGGAGGGCCAACAAATGATTGGGGGCGGCCGCAAGCATCCACGGCAAGGCAAAGCAGATAACAGTGCAGGCGACCGACATTCGCGGCAAGGCAGGGCAACGCCAACTAGCGGCAACCGTGGTCATGGAGGACAGCACAACCCACCCCCACCTTCGCCCGGACCCCCACTCCCGACCTGGTGATCCAGGTGGTCTTGGCTGGGGTTGGGGGTGTCTTCTAGGGGTTCTCCGAGGCCAAGAAGCTACCCCACCCTGCCAGGCCCACCTGGATCACCAGGGGGTGGGAGTCCTGGTGGGGGTGGGGGCGGGTTGTGCTGTCCTAATTTGCGGCAAGGCAAGGGGCATTTGCTTGCGGTGGGAACCAGCTTTGGTGACCACGCAGGGCAGCAGGCTGCGGCGGCAACCAACAATTGCAGCAAGGTAGGGCAATGGATCGTGGCGGCCAAAAGTGCTCGCAGAAATGCAGTTGGCGTCGCGTGGCAGCAACCCGTATTCGCGACCGAGGTCAATGGCTAGTGACGACAAGCAGCATCCAGCATTCGCGGCAAGGCAGGGTATCGGCCCCAGCAATCGCGAATTGGCGTGGCAACGGTTTGTTGTTTCAGCCACTCTTCATACATTGCGCATGGCATTTGCCTTTGGATGCCACCGGCACTCATGGCAAGGCGCCAACCAGCGTTGCTGCCAACAGGGCTAATTTCACCAGCGCAGAAACAGAATTCTCTCTGAGTTCAAGCACTGTTTTTGGAAGTCTCGTCATTTGACGTGTCCTTGTCCCCCGCGTCTGCTTGCGTGGTCGAAACGGCATTGATCGTCATCTCCCTCCCCCCTATACTGCTCTTCCCTCCGCGATCCTTTGTCCTCGTGGTGCCCACTCTTCGCCTCCCGCCAAGGTTGATGCCATAGTCGTTGTGACTCTGGTTGTTGTCGTCGTCGATGCTGGGGTTGATGCTGCTGTTGCTGTTACACCGTGGATCTTTTCTCAATTACTATAACGCTAATTTTGCGTCCGCTGCTGCGCGGCGTAGGGGCGAGTCAGGAATGCTGGGGGGATGCAGGGTTTGACACTTCTTATCACTGCGCAGCAGAGACGATGCACGGCTTCCAACTGCGGACCTACCATCTGGCCGCGGAAAACATAAAACCCGACACCGCATTGCTCCGAGAGGCACGTCGTGTGCGCTTCAGCTGCCCCCCCTCGCTTAGCTGGCTTGGGAGGCTCGGGGCCTCGGGATGGGCCTGGCCCTGAGTAAGTCTACTCCAGATAGTTCAACAAGCCCCCCCGCGGCGGCTCGGTGGCCAGGCCGTTGGTCCGAAAGACCGACGGCCCGCCATGAAGCAAACCGGCCCTGCTGGCTCGCCATGAGGTTTGTGACAGTTGTCGGACTCTTACGTTGATTGGACATAGGGCTGTAGAGCTGTCGCGGTTTATGCAAAACAAGACGAGGCTAAGAGCCGAACCAGGCGCAGGGGCCGACAATGTAGACCTCGTGTTCGTAGAAGAAGCGAACCAGGGCGACGGAGAAACAACACGGGCGAGGTATTTTTGGATTCCCAGATCCCAATCTATTTCAAGCGCCTTCCTGCTTCAAGAATCGACATGCTTTTGCTGTGTTGTGTTCTTCTCTGGGAGGTCCTGGACCCAATCTACTATATCCGCCTTCCTACTTCATGCTTCTACCTCCTTCTTCCGACCGACGTGTGACAATAACGCGAACCCTTCCGACGGCCCGTTCTGCCCCCCCCCGCTCACCGAACCCACCCACTCGAGCGATCCAACCCTCCCACGCCCCGCGAAGGACAGCTCACTTCTACAGCATCATGCGACAAGACCTCCACGCCTACTGAACTCCTCCTCCTCCTTGCCTCCTCCTCTTCCTCCTCCTCCTCGCCTCCTCCTCTTCTTCCTCCTCCTCGTCCTCCTCCTCCTCCTCTTCCTCCTCATCATTCTCCTCCTCCGCCTCCCCCTCCTCTTCCTCCTCCTCCTCCTCTTCCTCCTCCTCGTCCTCCTCCTCCTCTTCGTCGTCCTCCTCCTCCTCCTCCTTCTCCTCCTCCTCCTCCTCCTCCTCCTCTGCCTCCTCCTCCAACTCGGAGTAGGCCCCGTACCCAAGATGTCGGCGGTCGGGCTGGCGCACGG